CTTGAAGCCCAGAAGGCACATATTGGAGACTTTCTTTACAAGCCTCTTTTAATCCTTACCCCCCACCCCTGCCCCCAGGGAAGGATGAGCCTCCTTTGACAGATAAAGGAGATGGGGCGTATAGCTCCTTTCTTTACTTGAGCTAAGGCCACATAGCCAGGATGTAGCAAGGAGAGATCTGTCCCATGTGCACAGCCCAGAGCTGCTAGGTAGCAGTCACATCCCTGTGCTGAGTTTTGGGAAATCATGGCTCTGCCTTGGAGATCAGTGAGTGGTGGTAAATGTAAAATAAGAAAAAATAGTAAATATTAAAAAAAAAATGAGTCAGAGGAAGAATCTGTTAGCTGTCCCTCTCTGGCCAGCCAGCCCTCCAGAATGGTGTAAGTACTGGAGCACATGTCCCTTAACCAGCAGTCTCCAGCTGTCAGCATGCTTGTTTTAGCCGGGCAACTCTTCTGATGCTTTGGAGTCAGGAGTTTGTGGACTCTGGATCTCTACTCTGGTGCTGTGTGGCCTTGGTCCATCATTGTGCCTCTCTGAGCCTGTTTGAACATCTGTAAGATGGTGACTCTTGACTCAGGCTGTGGAAGGTTATGAGGTGATATGTACAAAGGACACAGTACCATGGCCTCAACGTTTGCTAAATTTGAGCTTCTCTAGAGTCCGTGATATAGGTGTGTCTGTCTGGTTTGTGAATGGAGTTGGTAATTCTGTACTTGATGGTGTCTGCTGAGCTTCTGATTATGGGTCAGCGCCTTGACTGATTGGGCCTCAGCTGGGGAGACTTCCTTTGGCTAGAACCTGGCTGGCTCTGTTGGGAAGAGTTGCCACTTACTGATTCCTCCACAGAACCATCTGCTCAGATATTTTGTGTTGAGACGTTAGCATGGTCTTCCCTTACTTCTTTCAGGGCCTCAGTTTCCCTAGTGATGATTTCCAGAATGTTGGTCAAAGGCATCATCTGTTTTCCAAGGGCGGGGATACTGGGGACCACTGTGGAAAGTCTTAGTGGGAGGGTCCACACAGGGTTGCTTATGTGTCTGGGGCCCATTTATATACCCTGGTCACTGGTTGTTAAGGTCAGGACAAAGCCTCTTGGAGGTGACCTGACTTTCTGTCCTAACTCAGGTCAGCAGCTGGGCTTGGGAAATCCTATATCCCTCCTTCAGTGGGGAGCCTGCATCTCCAATGCTGAATGTTAGGACAAGGGGGCCTCTTCAGAGTTCTGAAAGAGGTGAGGGTAGACGGAGACACAGCCTCTGGTCTCCTCCTGCCTGACATGGCCATGCAGTGGCTTGTTGCTTTTTTTTTTTTTTTTTTCCAAGTTCAGTTGCCTCATCCCTTATGCCTTGCCCCAACCCCTGCTTGTTTTGTACTGGGAGTTTTCATCCTAGCCTCTTTTACTCTGCTTATGGGCTCCTCTTTGGGGCTGAGCTTAGGCCTGGCTTGCTTGCCTCTGATTGGTTCCTCACTCCCTGGGTTGATTCTACCAGGCCTGGTGCTCAGTAAGTTTCAGGAAGCTGTGCATAGATGATTGGAAGTGCAGGAACCAGGATAAAAGTAAGAGAGCTGCTAAGCTACAAAATGTGAGGATGTACAGGCAGATATGGTCTTCTAGTATGGAAGCCTCTGGGTAAGAGCAGCTATTTTTTGAGTGTTCACTATACGCTAGTATGCTATTCATATTTCATACTTTTATCTCATCCAGACACAATATCCTTAGATAGATATTATTACTGCCCCAAGTTTTTTATGTGAGGAAACTGAGGCTCATGTGTTGTCTTGTGGCCAGGGGTAAGAGCTGGGATTAGATAGTAGAATTGCCTGCTACAGAACATTCATGAGTGTCCCTTGGCAGTCTTCCTTGCTTATCCAGTTGCTTCTGCTGTGACTGTGGGTTTGGGGTGCTGAGTGAGGGCTATGCCCAGGGGTTCTGAGCAACCTCACACAGTCATGGAAATCCCTACATCAACAAGATCTGGAGAGAGTGCTGGGGACGTAGAATGTAGTTTCTCTGGTGACATTTGTTCTCTCTGGGACTCACTTGTAGCATGGCAGCTGTCACACATTACTGTATCCAGACTCTGAAAGCTTTGCAGCCCAGTAGGGCTCCTAGGGGGGAGCTAGTCCCCTTGAGTTTAATTTCCAGGTGAGGGGCCCAGGGTCTAGCACAGAAACAAAGTTGGATTTAATTTTCTGTGCTGGGCATGTGGCACTGCGTCTGGGGTTGCTGTGGAAAGAAGCTAGGCCCTAGGCCATGCCAGTGGGCATACCTGACCAGGCCACCCATCCTGCCTCACACCCACCCCTTCCAGTAGCAGCCAGGATTCTTACCTTCCCAGCAGGGCTCTCACCACCTTCCTCCATTAGCCTGGGAGTCCTTTGAAGTTTCTCTGGTGTGTATGTATGGTGTATGTATGTATGTATGTATGTATGTATGTATGTATGTATTTTTTTTTTTCAGGGCATGAGAGATGGTTCATCAGTTAAGAGCACTGGCTGCTCTTCCAGAGGACCTGGGTTCAATTCCCAACATCCACATGGAGAAGCCATCTGTAATTCCAGTTCCAGGGC